TCTTCTGACATCTATTTTGGTCTTCGCTTCCTCTTCTCTCTTTGCAATGACCGTTTGCACTCTTCCTGGGTGATACCCTTGATATCCTCCCACAACTCATCTGGTCTTCGCTCATTAGTGTTCAAGGCCTCAGACCTATTCCTGAGATGGTTCTGAAATTCAGGTGGGATAGACTCAAAGTCATATTAAAATAACTAAAATAGAAAAATTTTCCATAGATATTTTACTACAATGAAACTTTTAAAAAAGTTGATAATGAGTGTAGAATTCTGCTTACCTCAGGTTGGAGGATGCAATAAAATTATCTGTTCAGAGGATTTTACAGTTAAATATGTTATTGTCAAGATCCTGGTTTTTCTTTGTGTAGGTAGTTCAAGATATTTACAATATTATTAAACTAACATTAAATAAAATTTAAACCAATGGTAAGAATATATTATAATCTAATCCAATAATCAATCCAAAGAATTCTGTGCACCTAAGGCTCAATTTTTTAACGTCTTCATTACAAATGTCATCTGTATAGCATATCTTTATAGCATATTTTTCAAGTTTAGCATTCACATTACTGTAATCTAACCCACACACAATTTATACCCATGTTTGCAGAATAAAATTTAAAAAACCACAAGTACTTACCATCAACATCAATTCTTTTTAATGTCTGTCGAATTTCTGAATCACTTATAGAAATCCTTAAGGTGCAAAGGATCGCTGGCAGATCATTCACATTAATCTTACCATTTCGAATTTTACTAAAAAGCTTACAGGCTTTATGAAGTTCTATATCCACATAACAAAAAACACAGTCAATTAATTTATAAGAAACATTATCCTCTCCTTACTCCCTTTCTAAGGAAAAACAAGCAATAATAACTAAAAAGAAGGAGGGAGACTAAACCTTTTTGTTAGATTCTCTGCTGTAAAGCTGATTCTATAATTTTTTTAGGAATGTATACAATCAACCACAGGTTTCTAAGGGCTCTCAGAAATGATCAGAACAGTCATACAGAGATTCTTCAGTTTTCCCTGGGAATATAAAGTCAGTCATCTGTGCTCCTACAGCAGAGTCTGTATCTTAGGCAAAGTTCTTAGTATCGTGACAGTTGCATGACAACTGTCAATATCCCTCACTAAGCCATCACCTCCCAAGGCCAACATTTTTCATCATTCTACTTTGAAATTCTAATTTGAAATAGATTCTTAAAATATGTCCATTAAATTGAATGGATTTCCATTTTTCCTTATAAAAAGTGAAGGAATAAGAAAGATACAATGGGGACTTGAAGAGATGGGATGGTAATAGACATAGATGAATAGTAATTAATTACATAAAACACAACTTATATGGTTAATTGTATAAAACACAATGAACATAAATGCAACATAATCCATATGAATGATTGTATGCAAACAAAACATTTTTTAAAAGATGAGAGTGTTAACAACTGAAAAAGATTTTAAAATAGCTCATTGTAGCTTCACTAGGAGTTTTAGTACTCCTTTGAGTTGTCTATGACTAGACAACATTTAAAAACAACAGCAACACAGAGAGAGCTCAGTTGGCCTAGTGGACAGAAAGTGATGCTATCAAGCCAAAGGTGGGTGATTTTAATCTGCAGCCCTCAGGCCTGGGTTTAATTGTTTTTGGTCAAACATTCTTCTAAGCGGTATAGCACCGGTCTGTCTATTTGCTGTACAGAGGTAACTCATGGTTGCTGTGATGCTGAACACTGTGACACTGATGTGTCAAATGCAATTATGGTTACCCATGGTGGATAGTATTTGGTGGAGCTCCCCGATTACAACAAGCTTGGAAGTAGGAGTGGCATCTACTTCCGAAACAGCTTGCCTCTGGAAACTCTTTGAACTTGGAAAAACAATTAAAGTTAATACAAGTGTTCGGATCTTTCGTTCATAGGGTCACTTTGAGTCGTCTACGAATCAACGACACTTAACAACAACAACAACATAATAGAGGTGAGAGACAAATTTCAGTGAAATTGGAAGTTATGAAACAACTCTCTTAAGAAGCTTCCCTGGGAAACAATACAAAATTGACAAACAAATCCTGAGGAAGGAGAAGAAAACTTGATCAAATGACAAGTAGGTGGAGGGAAGTCTAGAGAGAGGGAAGCTCTCCGATGAGAAGAAATATGTATGTTCAGGAAGATTCTGCCTAACAGTCTAAATCTGAAGGCGTGGCCCAAGATTGAGGTGAGGCATCAAAAAGTAGTGAAGGGCAGAGTCAGCTTTAACATTTAGGTATGAAAGAACCCCAGAGCTTACTAATTTATTCAGAGTATTAATATACTGATGTTTTTTTTAAATAGACTGAAATAATCAGTATATATAAAATAAAATTAGTGTATTTTACCAATACAAAATATTTATAAGGTATCCTCTTGTGCTTAATCAGTATATATAAAATATAATTAGCATATTTTACCAAAACAACATAAGATATTTATAAAGTATAATTTAAAGTATCATTATAGATTAAAGTATCATTCCATATAGTCTGCATCATCAGACATTTCATGTAATATTAGCTGGCATTATAAATGATTAAGTACACAGGAAGAAACCTTTACCACTGAAACAAATTTTAATCAGGAAATCTATTCAATAAATTCTAGAACTTCTTACCATTTAACTCTTGAGAGTATACGCGTCTGTAGGATAGTTTATCACATCATGTCATGCAGAAATTAGAAAATGTTTCCTTTTTCCCATCAAAGAAACAGGAAAATTAAAAAGCAGCAAAGAAAATATACAAAACTCCATTGAAAAGGATTATCATATCAAATTCTCAATGGACCAATATTCTTCCAGGCTCTTACTTCAGATGGAGTCTTTCTTTAAAAACTCTGGAAGCCTTTTAGAGAGTAATTAGTTGTACTACCCACTTCCTAAATATCATGCCTCCAGAAATTCTATGAACTTTGATAAATGGCGATCATTGTACAGAGGCTTCAAGCCTTTTGTTCACTGGGTTGCTATGAGTCATGCTCTACTTGAAGGCAAACAACAACAACAAGATTTAACTGAAAGGGTGAAACCAAGTTTCTCCTTGGAGGCTAGAATTGTGAAACTCTACCTTACTTACTTTGGGCACATAACCAGGAGAGATTTGTCCTTGGAGAAGGACATAATGCTTGGAAGGGTAGATGGACAGAGCAGAAGAGGAAGACCCTGGATGAGATGATTGATACAGTAATTGGGTCAGTGGCGGTTGGTGTATCGGAATTAGTGAGGTTGACTCCGGACAGGGAAGGGTCCAGAGCTGCTGTACATAGGGTTGCTGAACATTTCAGGTGACTCCACAGCATATAACAACCATAACATACTATGATAGGTTTGGAAGCAGGAGTGGCATCCACTTCCTAAATGACATGCCTCCGGAAACTCTATGAACTTGGATAAATGTCATTAGTTGTAAAGGGGCTTCAGGCCTTTTGTTCATAAGGTCGCTTTGAGTCATACTCAACTTGAAGGCAATCAACAGCAACAACACTCTTCTGATGTAAAACTGCTTTTTGAAATTAAGTTACACTCCACCATTCTCAACTTATTTTCTGTAGGTGATAGTTCTCCACGAAGCACAATCTATGCTAGCCCAGAAGCAGCGCCCATGGCTCACTCTAGCCTTTCTCAGTGGTACAATTTTCCCTACTTTTTTTTAAAATAAGTTATTGTAGTAAGACAAATAAGAGCATCTCTAGACAAAGAATTCTAGATTCTATCACCTCTCAGGAAAAATTTATCTTATACAAGAACACATAAATAGTAAAATCACAAAATTTTGTGATGGATGAAATCCTAGGATTTCATTTAATAATAGTTTCTTGTCATGTATTTGTAGAAATAAAAGCTTAGAGAAGCAAAACAAATTGCACACAGGTATACAGCTGTCATATGAGGCCAGTTACAACTGAAATCAGTGCTTTTATCTCTACACTTCCTAATAAGGTAGGCTCTTGTTGTACACAAACTATGTGGCGTTATTTAAATATAAAAGACAATTTATAATAGAATGGAAGTCCAAAAGTCTAAACCCAACATTTAAGGAAGAGAATACTATGATTTCAATACTCAGAAACTGGAAAAGATGTCCTCTTGGGTGATGGAGTACTGTAAACTCTATGCTGATTAGGCAACTTCAATAAAGAATTGTCTTTTTTCATCATCTTCTCCTTTGACAGCTTCACAGAGGAAGAGATAATCTACACCCAAATGTAACAATGTGTTTATTTAATGCCTGAGATTATACTGGTAATCTAGAAACCTACTAAAAGAATAATTAGGTATACTCAGTTCCATCTTTTCTTTTGAAGTAAAATTACTTTTTAAAATTAAATTCTATTTTTTTCTATATCCTAAAATCATAAGTCAAACATTAAATATTCTTCTCAAAGCAGTGTTTTCCTTATGTATACAAACCCATCATTTCCTAATTAATATTTAGAGAGTTCTGGTGATCTAATGTGCAAAAAGCTGTGTTGTCAATCCCAAGGCAGGCAGTCTGAATCTATCAACTGCTCCTCAGGAAAAAGATGGGCAATCTCCTCCCGTGCAATGTACAGCTGCTAAACACCCTCTAGGGGGTCAGCTATTAATTGGTTCTGACTCGAAAGCACATAACAAGTTAATATGTAGCTCATAATACTTGGAATCTTAGAAAGCATGCAAAACTTAGAGGACTTTTCCATAGGCTAGGGTAGGTACGCAGGTTAACTCTGTGTAAATTAATGGAGAGAAGCGGTTTATATATTTGAAATCATATAGGTCATTTTTTAAAAAAATTATCCTTATGATAGACTAATCAATTGTAATATAGCATGTATAAACAAGATTCAAAAGAGACAAGCAGCTAGGAAGATAGAAAAGTACAAAGTGAGATTTGAAACACAAACATATCTGAAGACCTATGTATAGACAAAGGCAGAATGGTAGTGATGCTACCACAAAACAAGTAATGCTGAGTACCTACAGAAGCTGAAAGAAACAAGAGAGAGTGTCCTTCTAGACCTCTGTGAGAGTGTGTGTGATTCTGTCAACACTGATTTCAGACTTCTGGGCTATAAAATGGTAAGAGGATTAATTTTTGCTGCCTAAAACAGTAAGTTTATAATAATATGGCAACTCTGGGAAACTAATATAGTGAACTTGCAATTTCTAAAGTAAAAGAGAATACAGTAAACAATTTAGAAAGCAAAAAAGGACATTAACTACAGAAAATAATTGAAGCTTTGCTAATTCTGAAATATCTCATAAACTGAAAGATTCCCAGGGTCATTTCACTGTTAGAAGAAATGTTAACAAAGCCTATTAGTTTAATGGATAAAAAAAGAAAAAATTCATATTCTTTTGAAAAGATCCTTTGCTCTGTGCTAGAAGGAGAAGAAAGATAAGGAGATAGCAAAGGAGCATTTAAGATTGTGACATTTTCATAATTTGACTAAAACAATGTTTGAGGGCTAAGGACACTACTAAAAGGTGAACGGAGATATTTCAAAGACTGCACAACACTACTGACATAATGGATCTCACTGAATTATCTAAGAAAAGATACTGAATTTGCAAACACTGTGTTATCTATACTTTCACAACATTATGTTGTTGTCGTCATATGCTATGGAGTCAGATGGGTCGTTGGGTCTAGTGGGTTTTCAGAGACTGTAAATTGCACAAGAGAAGACTGTCCATCATTCTCCCAAGGAGCAGTTGGTGGATTCAAACCGCACACCTTTGGCAATGCAAAGCTCCCTTACAGCATTATAAAACAAAATAAATTCTCAAGAAATACTTTAAACTCTCACCTCAGTTCTTTCATTATGCAGTTGTAAAATTTTCTTTTTTCTTATTTTAGCAGTATATTTTTCTTCATATCGACATACTTCACACCTAAAAGCACAGGACATTAAAATAACTGTTAAATTATTTTTTTTCTTATTTACTTTTTCACTATGGAAGTTTTAAAATTCTATAATTTTAAAATTTTAAGTAAATGCTATTTTTTTTTTCTTTTAAAAAACCACGTGTAGGGGAGCTCTGGCCTAGTGGTAAGGAGTTGTGGGGCCAACCCTATATCTTCCAAGACAGACTTTTTGTTCTTTTGGCAAACCAGGGTGTATTCAATATTCTCTGCCAATATCATAATTTGAAAGCATCAATTCTTCTTCAGTCTTTCTTATTCATTGTCTAATTATTGTTGCAGAGTATCTTTTGATTTCTTGATGGCTGATTCCATGGATGTTGATTATGGACTCAAGTAAAAGAAAGTCACTGAAAATTTAAAAAATTTTCTCTAATTAACATGATGTTGCCCAGTTGTGAAAGTTAACAATTTTAAATTATGCTAATGAAAAAAGTAAAGTGATACTCCTTCCATTCCTACCGAGATAAGTTTTCATCTGAACTTCCAGAAATAATTGCTGTTGTTGTTGTTACGTGCTGTCGAGTCGTTTCCGACTCATAGCGACCCTATGCACAACAGCCCTAAACCCTGCTCTATCCTGCACCAACTGCACTGCCTTTGACACACCCATCCCGATTACCCCAGTCACCAAATCAATCCATCTCATAGAGGG